TTTTTAAACCAGCAGTACTTGGCCCAGCTGTTGCCTGCGAAAAAAAAAAAAAAAAAAGAGTAGAAACGTTTCTACTCGGATGAATTTGGGCACTCCTGTAGTGGCCCGTACGTTTCCTAAAATTGTGGCTTGTTAATGGGCACAACTTTAGGAAGTACTGGTGATTTAAAGAATAGGATGACTTTATTTTACGAGCAAATTTCCTCTTTTAAAAAATAAAATAGAAAATTATTCCTTCTCCAAGATTGCTGTTGAACAATTTTAACGGATGTCAGCGCTCCTGCGCTAGGGTGACACGCATAAATTGAGAAACGGTCCAAATTATAAAAAAGAAAAAGATTGCGTCCTTTGGGACGTCCGTTAAAATTGGGACGTCACAATACAGAGAAGATTTGCATGAAAAAAAGGGAAAAAAAAGAAAAGAAAAAGAAAAAGATTGCTGTTGAACCTGTCCAGCAGAATAACCCGCAGAAGGGGAGCGAGTTCCATGGTTTTAAAGTTTAAACCACCAGTACATGGGAACCTCAAATTCTGGAGGTGCGAAGCGAAACGAAAACGGGGCCGCCGATCGAATTTATCAACGGCGGGCCCAGCGTTTGACGTTTCGGGCTCCGAGTCGTTTTCTTGTGACGACAAGTTTCGGACTGCAAGGCTGGGGCCGTGAATAACAAAGTTTTTTTTTTTTTTTTTTTTTTTTTTTTTTTTTTTTTTTTGTGGGTCATGATGACCATGACTAGTCATCATGGACTTCAGAAATGACTAAATTAGAGGGAAATCCAATGAGGAGGAACGCCTGGCGACCCATCTAGAAGATGCTAGAGGCTGCAAAAGAGCTTGCATTTGGGTTTCTCAGAGGTAGCACATTTTTATTTCCAACCCTTCTTTTTTGGCCACCTCGTAACTTGTACCATTTCTTCTACCTGTTAGTACCTGGGGACTCCTCAGTATCTGGACTCAAGCATCGGGACGGTGCATCCAGACACCCATCTGGACAGTTGTTCTGCCATCATGATGTCCAAACATTTGGATTTTTTTATTATTATTATTATTATTTTTTAATTTCTTTTTTGTTCCCCGGACATTTGGATTGTAACCATGGTAATACAAGATGGTTGGTTGTGCCAAAATCGCACTGAAAGTTCTGAAACTGAGGGGCTCACCGGACGGTACACGAAACGAGAAAAAAAACTAACTCGTTTCGTGAACTCTTCGCCGCACAGTGAAGAAACGAACACAGTCAGAAGGAAGTCGCGAATTGTGTCAGACTTGCAATTCGCGAGGCTCCGCACGTGCCCCCTTCCGTGCCCGCCTGCAACGCGCGAGAAGTCGTAGGTCCTCCCGAGGCCGGTCGAGGAGCTGCGAATCCTCGCGAGTGCAGCAAGTCGGTCCAAGGGCTGCAGCACGTGCGTCCAAGGGATGTCGGTCCAAAAAAAAAGTAGCATTTGCGAAAGTCGGGCACCTCAACACTCGTCAGGGCGTATCCGCGAGTGATTTCGCGTGTGCCATGCGGCGGTGGTGCAACAAACGAAACGAAACAGTGATTTTCAGCCTCGCGAGGCCTCGCGAGTTTCAAGGTCGTTTCGTTTCGTTTTTTGCACCGTCCGGTGAGGCCCTGAAAGGACTGTTTTTTTTTTGTTTTGTTTTTTTTAAAGCACTGTCGAATTTTGATCCAGTGGTCCTAAAAAGCTGATGAGGTTGATATACTGACGGGTAAAATGTAGTCAGAGAGGGAGAAGAGGACAACAAACGATGGGGCTGTGAATATACATGTGCCTCCTGATGAGTCGGGGAAACTCCAACGAAACAGTTTGTCACAGTCCCTCGTTTGTTGTCCTCTTCTCCCTCCCTCTCTGCCTATGGTTTACCGGGCAGCTCTGTTTGATGATGTATATATATAGTGAAACTCCGACGAAACAGTTTGTCACAGCCCCTCGTTTGTTGTCCTCTTCTCCCTCTCTGCCTACGGTTTACCGGGCAGTTCTATTTGACGATAT